TATATTATATTAAACTAATATATATTATATTAAATATATACGTAACTAATATATATATATATATATATATATATATATATATTTATATATGATTCCAAACACACAGTGACTGATCTTCTAAAATTATAATTGACTAGAAATTAACACATGATAACTTTATGCATCTACAATTAACTTGTTTTATTTTATTTTCATCCTAGTAGAGATCTTTCTTTATCCCAATTGGTCACCAGAGAGGACCCAGATGTTTGAACGCATCAAACTCACCTTCGACGCCAGCACATATGACTAGTCACAACTGGCTGGACCAGGCCAGGGCTGCTCTATGATCAGGGTTATGCCAACTCAGGTTTTTAAGGTTCCTCTATCCTACCAATAAAGAAAGGCTCTCTAATTAACAATTAATTTATTTAAATTATCTACCCTGTTCTCTTATGCTCTAAATCTAAAATGCCTAATTTTAATATTTTTACTTCCTCTCACAGCAACATTTTAATATTTTCACTTCCTCTCACAGCAACCTCAAACATGCCTAATTTTAATATTTTCACTTCCTCTCACAGCAACCTCAAACATGCCTAATTTTAATATTTTCACTTCCTCTCACACAACCTCAAACATGCCTAATTTTAATATTTTCACTTCCTCTCACAGCAACCTCAAACACGCCTAATTTTAATATTTTCACTTCCTCTCACAACAACCTCAAACATGCCTAATTTTAATATTTTTACTTTTTCTCACAGTAACCTCAAACATGCCTAATTTTAATATTTTCACTTCCTCTCACAACAACCTCAAACAATACCTGTACATCTATTTAATATCCATATACATGCTATTACAGAACCCTTACTCCCGACCTCCCACAAGATCAATTTCAGGCAACAAACTCATTCAAAACAAATTAAATTCATCACATCACAACATGCACAATTTCACAGTTTCAATTATAACACCAAATACAATAAAGTCATAAAACAATTTCACAAAAGCACACCAGTTCAACATTCATATGCATATATTTTTATAAAATAAATTCATACAAAAAAAAAATAATTAGCTCCCCTTACCTTGGAGTTGAGCAGTATAGCCAACTAGAGTGCCCTAACAGTGCCTTCACAGAGAAAACCCAAACAGTGCCCTATAACCACCCGTCCAAATTGAAAACTAATGGGATGGATAGGAAGCCTTCAACTCCGTGAGCGAAAGAACACCACCTAATCAAAACTTCAACGGTTCAAATGAGTGTAAGGGTAGAGAGAAGGCAGAGAAGGAAGGAGAAAAACTGAGTTTAGAGAGAGAAGGAGAGAAGAACTGAAAAGTGACTCAGAGTTAGAAAAATGAAAAAACCCCTTCTAAGTCAGGGTGCCTTTGGTCTTTAGGCCTGACTGCAAGTCCAATAGCCTTATCTTCATGCTCTTACATTCTTAAACAAATATTATGTAGAATTTGTATACAACAAGTTATGATAGACTCACAGTGTACTTTTTCTAAGTGGCTAACATACATAAATGAATTGTTCCATTTTGTTCTTTTATTCTTTTCACTCCACATATTTTAAAATTTAATTATTATTTTATTTTATTGAATTCACCGTCAATATATTATTTTAACACTAAAATATGTGTAATGGTAATTTAATTCCTGAAGTAAGTAAATGAAATTTTCTCTACGTGTAATAAATTTAAGAAATTCTATTAGTGTGTCTATAATAAAATCTAAAAATACCATCATAGTTTGTCACATTTAACTAAAATTAGTTTAAAGATTATTCTTTTAGTTGCTCAAAATTATTTGTTAAAGTTTTTTCTAAGTTAAGGGATTAGAATAATACATTATAAACTTAAAAGACCAAAATTAGATTAACTTCGATTTCCAAACATTAATGTACTTAAAAAATGATTAAATATTTATTTATATTACTAGTTATAGTTAGTTTTAATGGCTGTATAGGATTCAAATTTCTAGAGTTATGTGTAAAATTTACGTGTTTTGAGATGGAAATTTATGTTATATTTGTTTTATTACATGTTTACGATGAGTTTTTAGAATGAATAAAACTCAATATGTATTTAAGTTGTATTAAGTTAAAAAATAATATATTTTAAAATAAACTTAAAATAAATATAATTTATTAAAAATCTGACTCATCTAAACTGAACTCATCACCTCAATGTCTTATACAGATAAAAAGGAATCTTAATGTAACCCAACACAATAAAAGAAAATAAAGTAGTAAAAATATACGCAACTCACAAATTCTTTTTCATTTCAACTCTCCTTTCTCACTTATTCTTTCTCAAAATCAAAATCTTTTACATAATATTATGTATATAATAATATATGTTATGGCCACATATTAACGTGATTATCTTTTTGTTATTATTATTCTTATGGTTTAGAATTTAGTTTCAATTTTTATATTTAGAAAAAAGTTTGATTCAAGAAAAAAAAAACTAAAAAGGTCTATTTTTTTTTCCTAAAATAAAGTGAGTAGCTATGTTTAATTCATAAACATGTGGTAGGTTATGTTAGGCCCATTTTTTTAAAAGTTATAAGATAAGTGAGATAGATTGAACCGATCCATACCACATGTAATTGTTTGGGTAAACATCTCTAGTGTTTTAAAAAGCTAAATTGAACTTTGAATACGTAGCTTTTAATGAATTAGAAAAAGGAGTGTCCTTAGCACCTCATATTTATCTCCATTCCCTTATTTATCAAAAGTGATAAGACAACAATTCTTTTATTATTTTCCTTATATTTTCTTTCTTTATTTTTACCTTTTTACAATCCTTGTTTCAAAAATTTATTACTTACATTCCCAAAACAAAAATATCCTTAAGTTGATAGGGAATAAATTCTAACTTAAGTTGTAAAGTGTGTTTTTTTTTAATTTTAGAAACTTTTAAATTATTGAGGAATGAGTAAAGTATGGCTTTTGGAGAAAATTAGGGAAATGAGTGTTTTATCTATATTGTGTAATAAGTATTGAATTGAATTTAATTAGAACCGTGAAAAGTAAATTTTAGATTTTTATTTGACAAAAGTTATACATGATGATGAAAATTTATTATTTGCTTATAGTGTGTAGATAATTTTGATATTTATAGTTATGATTTAATTTAATAAACTTATCTATATATTTTTTTAAATTAGATATTTAGGAAGTGGCAAGTACTTAAGTGGTGATTAGTTTAGATAAAGTTTAGTACATATTGAAAGGTAAAATCATCAATTAATAAATAAAATAATTTTTTTGTTAAAATATTAGTTAGGTAAATTTATAAATGAATATTTTTAATATTTTCATAATTTGTCATATATACATATATTTATCTTCAGATTGTTAATTATTTTTTATTTAACCCTTGTGACTTTTATCTTAAAGTTCACTTTTTTATTTCAAATGAGCTAATTTTTAAATTATTATTACATGTGTACATGTCTTGTTACTTAGAAGCTTACATTTATATATATACTTATATTTCCATGGTTGATGTGATGTGGCTTGTAGTTCTCATCGACCAGCTTTAATTGGTGAAATGTAAGTTTGGTTATTTTTTTTTTGAGTTATTATCTTCTGTTCTTGTTTGACTTCTTCTGCAGCATAGTCAAATCAACAATACCTTAATAATGTAACCAGACTAAACATTGTGCTTAACACTTAATTATATATATTATTAGTTAGATGTTTGTCTCTTTATTAGATGTGAATTTAGATACAACATACTTGTTTCACAGAAAAATTTAATCAATTCAAATTTACTTTGTATTTTTATACTAAAAATATCCTTTTCTTATTGAAAAATATTATAATAGTTACCTCTAACAAAAACAATTAAAAGTCATTTAAAGAGTAAGGATTATAAATTTAAAACAAATAGAGAACATTGATTTAATCTATTATTTCCTAATATTTCAGCTTCAATCCTACTGGTTCAAGGTTTGATATGTAATTAATAACTATAAATTATATAAAAAAAAGAAGGAACAACAAAATCCAAAAGTCCAAGGTTTGGCGTGTAATTAATAACTGTAAATTATTATCAAGTAGGAAAGGAAAATGCTTACATTTTACAATATTTTATTGTAATAAGACAAAACCATATGGGGAAGTAGTTTTGCAGACAAGAAAAACCAGCAACAAAGATAAAGGTCAACTGAATTTGAAAAACATTACCATCACAAGATAGATTGGGAAGAAAAAAGGTGTGTTAACCTAAATCACTGTGGGGGTCTGTATAGAAGAAATCAAAGAAGCATTATGAAATTAAAACTAGTTTATATTTATTTTCCTTTATTTATAGTCGAGAGGATTAAGCGATGTGGGATGTGAAATGAATAGATATAACTGGCATAAGAATATTATTGCACATCCATATGATATGTCAAAGGAATTTACAACTATCAAACCCAAATCCAAACCAGGAAATTGAAACAGAGAAACAATAAAGATGAACAAGAAGCACAGATTTACAAGTTGGAGAAAATAAAAAAGAAAGAAGATGATGGTGATGAGTGATACATCATCATCACCTACGTCTTTTAGCTTTGGTGGATTTTGCAGGACCTGGTTTCCGAAAGACAGAACAAAAGCCACAGGTTGCTAGCTTGGGAGAAGGTGGGTCTATGGATGCCGGTGCAACGTTGACCGTCCGATAAGGGCGTGCTCCATCTGATCTGCTCCGCTCCAACCTGGCACTTGATTCGACATCCTGAAGCTCCCTTTGACCTTGTTGGTTCTGATTCTGGTTCTCAAGGGCTGTGATGAACTTGTCATCCCACACCAACCCTGAAGATCCTTGTCTTCTAAATGATGTTACAGACCTCTGCAACTCAGTCATCTCTTTCTTTCTCTCTCTCTCTCTCTCTCTCTCTCTCTCTCTCTCTCTCTGATGCCGTTCAATTTGAAGAAATTTTGAGTGGCCTAACAAGCTATATGATGATGTTTGACCTTTAATTGTTAGAGAGATAACAAGGTTGGGGAAAATGACAGATATAAGAATATATATATTTGTTAACAAGAAAATCAGTGGAGAATCTAATCTCTGGGTTTGGTACCTCTGATGGTTAAAGTTTTGGACTATCTTCACACTAATCACATCCTACTTTTTTGACTCGAAATGGAGTAACATATGCAGAGCAGGTGTTCAGATTTGTGTCACCAAGCTATGTATGTAGTAGCAAAAATTATTGTATGAGGTGCCATTTGGTGGACTTGGTCAATTTTCACAGATGTAATATTGCGTTTCATTATTTATAGTGAGCAGGGTCTGTTAATAAGATCGTTCAGCCCTTTCTTACCGAGATTTTAATTGGGCCTCAGTTTCCACAGATTTCTTGTTCAACCTATGTTGACCCAACTTAATGATCCTTTACTGTCCACGTTTGGAAAAATGATGTTATTTTTTATTTTTTATGACAATATTTATTATAGTTTATATTTTTGTTCTCTTTTTAATATTTTCATTTATTGTAGAAATTATCGTGAGCATATTTGTGATAATACTTTGAATGGGGTTTGAAAGTGAATTGGTTGTCAACAATATTTGTGATATTACTTATCTGTATTGATTAAATGACGAGTACTGAAAGAGTCAAAAAGTGTCATTAGCATCATCATTGAGTTATTGGGTTTGCTTTGGCATATTCCAAGTGAGAGCTCTCCAAAACTCTCCAACGCTACAGGTCAATTTTCTTTTGCAGCCTTGTCAGAATATTCAGGGTTCCATGAATATTTACTTCTTTTGTGTAAACCAAATCCTAGCATTTATATATATAAAAAATAATAATAATCAAATAATTAATATTTTAGTATTTTTTAAAGAATACATATGTCAATTTTTTGTGAATCTAAAATCCATGAAAAAGTATAGGACTATATAAAAGGAAAGACCCATCCCTCGGGTGAACTTCAATCTCCAACAAATGAAATATCAAATCATTTTAAAAATAGAACCATTTTAGACTAATGTAAAATTATACATATAATCTATTCAAAAAAAATAATTTAACAGTGAATTTCAAAAAGTATTATCGATCAAAAGATATTGAATATTATAATATTTCATAAATTAGATCGACATAATTTAATGAATCCACATTGTATAGAATATTTTAATTAAAATAATTATAGACGGCGGATACGAGACAGTAATATATAAGACATATCCATGTAATTGCTTCCTGAACCCTACCAAAATTCTTCCAATACCCTGTCACTTCCCAATAAACAGTTCCGGAAATTGTTTTCTTTCGGGAAGGGGTTTTGACAGGGTGGAGGAAAAAATGTGATGGGTGTAGGAAGCAACCGCCTATATACATTCATTCTGAATTTTAAGTAAATCCATGACTGAAGTTTCATATCTATATGGACTTATTTTTCTCAAGGAGTGGTAGCAATATCCAATCCAGAAAACTTATGAAGTGTAGAAAGAAGTGTTAATTCAATACTATGCTCTTAGAGATTAAAAAGAAAGATTTTAGGGTTAGGTTATAGCACTTGAAACCATTAAAATGAATATTTATGACAGCTTTAAAAACAATGAGCTCGATTAAAATAAAATTACATGATGAAAGCCTCAAGTAAAACATGAGAATCTGTTAATAGTTCGGAAACCCAAGGAATAATTGATCCGTAATTTTTATTTTACTTTTTTATCTAACTTTGGACCTCCAACAGCATTGAACCACCCTCGTTATTAGGTGGTGAGAAAAATGTTTGAATTTCTGTGCAAGCTTAATATAATAAATAATTAGATTGTTTCAGTTGAAGCTGAAAAAAGAAAAGCATCAGTACGCCTACCAATCAAAATCATCAATCAATATAATTTATACAAATGTGTTAAAAAGGTTTCTTTTCTTACCCGAGCAACAATAATTGTCAAAATCCTGAATATCATCATATACTAAAAACACTCTCCAAGCAAGTCATGATCTAAGTAGCAGGTCTGTACAGGAAAAAAAGTAAGCCAAAATCACACGTAAAATTAATGTAAATCAGTAATATGCTCTCTAGGTTAAGATGTCCTGTCCAAATCAACATATTCAACTAAGATGTCCTGTCCAAATCAACATATTCAAACACTGGTTATCTAATATCTATCTTAGCCGCCTCAGGCCTCAAAAACCTTCCACTCACTCGAACGAAAATCTATACCATCTACCAATGGCAAAAACAGGGTCATTGTACCTAGCACGGTAAAGGATGCTAAGAAAACACGGCCAACAGCCAACTTTATCCTTTATCGTAGGTAAAAATATTAGTATCATCAATCATTAGTCATTTTAATCTCATAATTCAATTGTTGCATTTCTTGCAGCCACGTCCCACTAATCCATGGTCCTTTTGTCCTTCAGAATTTCACTCAGAGGTTTGGGATCCTGGAAATCAGTTGATGGGCGTTTCCAATGTAAACCTTCTTCAGCCTTCTTCTTCTCTTCTCTAATTTCTGCAAGAGTCTTAGGTCCTGAAAATGCAGTAGATTCCTCAACAAATCCCCTTTGTTTAAAAACCGGTTTCCTGGATATTTTAGATGACAGAAATGGTCGTTTCGCTGGCTTTTCTCTATAATGCTTCCTTGGTTTGTGTTGCTGGGAACGCCTGAATAACCTGTGCTTGTTAGCGATTGAAAGAGTTTCAACCTCTCCAATCGAATCTATAGCACTATATCCCAGTTGTGATGTCAATCTACTTGGCCGCTGCTCAATGCCAGGCCTCTGGTGCCTTTCCTGGTTTCGAATCATCAAAGAAGACGATTCTTGTCTTCTTAAGAAACCTGCAATGGGAGGCCCATTATTTTCTCTACGTCTCCTGAGATGGTCACGTAGATCTAAATTATTGTCATAGGCAGCCACCTCGGCTGACATCCGAATCCTTTTCCTGGAGAATATAGAATCTAAGAATATATCTCTGGAATAAGTACGAACTGTTCTGCCATTACCATGAGTAAGGTCACTATCAAAACATCTGTAACCATCATATGTTTCTTGTGGATACAGAATATCAGCTTCCGGGCACATAGTATCATACTCAACTGGATCCTTAAATTCGTACCCCAAGTACTGCTCATTCAGCTCTTGCTCATTCCTATCAAGCACTGGTAAATATTCAGAATCTTCCTCGTAACCCAAGTTCTCCAATTCATTGTGCACAAGAACGTCAAATCCAGGGGAATGAGGGGATGATTCCCACCGCTCCTCAGGCTCAATTTGACTATTTACTTGCTCTTCCGAACTCCGCTCAGTGCGTAAATGAGATACATTATGTACAAAGCCGTCATCTGGAAACGGAGAGTCTGACCTACTTACTGCAGCTTCTTTGTATTCAGAAGCAGATATCACTAGGGAATCGCCTTGCTGCTGAACATTTTTGGATAACTGTAACTTTTCCTTGGGCTGACGCTTAAAATCAGACAAATGCTTTGGAACAGTTAAAGATTGGTGAGTTGGCACTGACGCTACACCAGTTCCATTTCCTGATGATGTTTTATTTTCTAGATTGCGTGCATCGGTGCTTCCGTCATCATTCTTCACAGGTTTTACAGTAAAAATGCTATCATCAGACCCATGCAAAAAAGAGCATTTGTCACCTTTGTTGCAAAATCCATTGAAGAAAAAATAACACGGAACCATTGTCTTGTTTGCAGGCAATGAAATCTGTGCAGGTTCAGATGGCGCTGGCACTCCAGTGTGCCCATCCAGAGGCTGAGAAAAGGATAAAAATCAATCAGACAGTCATAAGAGGTTAAAACTGGCCTGAGTGATAGAGAATAGTTTTAAACAAGAAAAAATATAACAAAGTAGATATCAAATACATGGGGAGGGGGTGCGTGAAAGAGATAACAGTAACCAAATGGATATCAAATAATTTTTTTTCAATATTGCATGAGAGCAAAATGTAATATCGCCGGTATTTATAAGGGTTTAACAGAAACACATCCTTCATTCAGCATATATTTGAGAAATAACCTATACGTTTGTTTCAGAAACCGTAATAGAAAAAACAGCAAACAGAGATAAGCAGACTTGTATTCAACCACACACGTGCCAATGCTGTCCAAAATATCAGTGTTTCACTTAAGCAATAAATTGAAGAGAAAATGAGAAGTGAAAAATGCGAGCGAGCCTTCAATTCGTGACATAAAATAAATAATGATTAAAAAAACTCACAGGGTGTCTAAAAGCACACGTTGGATTCAGGCATTGGCCAGATACCCAGTACCAGCAATCCCTAGGGTTAAGCCTCGCAATCTCATTGTGCCGATACTCGCATTCAGCCCCCTGGGAAACAAAGAGAAAAATGCATAAAATCTAAAGATAATAAAACATCAGCAATTACCAAAAGTAAAGTCACGTAGACTCCAGAAAACCAAGCATTGTATAATCGAAGCACTGGAAAACGTGAAAAAGAACATAGTCGAAAAGGGTGAAATAAAACTAGGTTTCCGACAATCGAAGGAGACAAGAAACGGCATACGAAACGAGGAAATAGAATTGCGCAGAGGAGAAGAAAAAATGTGGCATTGAAAAAAAGTGAAAGGGAGAAAGAGAGAACCTTTTTGCAAGTGAGGGGAGAGGCCAAAAAATAAACGCAATCAGTGTTGCGTTTGAGCGAATCTTCGTCCATATTGGGAGAGTGAAAAGGGGTATTTGGAAGAGAAGAAGAAGAAGGAAATCACCACGTTCCAATTTTGCTCTCACATTACCGTTCAATGTTAATCAGTGGTGAATGGCATTAGCATCCCCGAAGAAACAACCATCCTCATTATTTCACTATTTCACTGTTTGTGGACAAAGACAAACAAACCACATATGCTTTAGTTGGACTTCCAACCTTTGGGCTCAAATTCGGCCCATCATCCTAAACGGACCATATATATAGGGAGCCTCTCCTTCAACCTCTAAACATTTCTTCCTGCACCCTCCAAGTTCCGAAAATGCCATGTGAGTAAATAAGATTGGTTAAGTGCACCGAACTTCCAACCACATTCTTTCCCTTTTATATCCTTTGCACCCCAAATTCCTTTGAATGCTTTGGTTGTTTTCTCGTGTGTGGTCCTACTTTCATTGTGCTTCCATTGTGCTTTCTCTAGTAGTCCATTCTGTCTCAAAGTTTCGTTCTTTGTTCCTTC